ACTGCTTGTACAAAGAGCATATTGAGGTAAGAACCCCATTCTAGTCCAACATCTATATTAGTTGTCCCTACCCTCAACCTAACTCCTGCAGTCCTTAGCTTCAACCTAACTCCTTCTAGCAATTTAAACATATTTACCCACTCTTTCTCCTGCTAAATCATTGTCTTCTATACTTTGACTTCCACAAAATTTTACCACTATCAAGCTTACATACATCCTTCACATTACATTTGAGATTGTTAATAGCCTTGGATATTTTAAGTTTAGTGACCAATTCCCAAGTCAATATATGCCCATTTCCCACTATTATAAACATATTATTATTTCTCATAATATCCTTAACATTGAATTACTTGCATTCTAATTCCACTACACTCTTCCAAACACCTTAACTGTTTCCATTTTCAACCCTCTAAGGAAGCCATTCTACCATCTCAACATTATATTTGTGGCTTACTAACCCGTTCTCCACAATGCACATTTCTTTCCTTACCAAATCTCCACCACCATTTTGACAAAAGAGCCATATTCATAGATTCTTCAAACCTAAAACACCTAAATCTTTACTAGTGGTTACTTTCTTGCAATTCACTAGATTTTTCAATTTCACGAGATTTATTTAGCTAGTTTCTTGTGGGGTTCTATATCCTAGTAGACATAAGGAAAACATTGTTTCTGTTTAATATGTAAATAATCTACTAGAGTTTGCACATTTTTTTGGCACCCTTTAATACAATAGCTAACTTTACTAATAAAAAATCAACTTAAAACACAAGGAAGAAAAATATCAATCATTCAAGCTTAACCAAATCAAAGGCACCAAAAAATATTAAATAAGAATAGTCACGTAATTAAAGTCGAACACATTTAACAAAGCCAACATTATTTACGCCAAAACAAGAAGGTGCTTGATCTCAAACTAGCACTAAGCATTTTTCAAAAATCTTCCATTGAAACTAATAATCGAAATGAAAAGGAGCAAGGATCTTCTAGAGTGATTTTTCCTTAAAGTTTCCTAGAGTGCTACATTGTGTGGTTGAGATTTACTGGCAAGTCACATCAATTTTTCTGATGTGACTTGCCAGTAAATCTCAACCACACAACGTAGCACTCTAGGAAACTTTAGGAAAATTTCACTCTAGAGGATCCTTGGTGAATGAAAAGTAGAGAAGCACACTCAGTCACCCTTTCTCCTAAAAGAGCATCCCTCGGAACACTCAATCACCCTTTCTCCTGAAAGAACATCCCTCGACGAGCCTCGTATGGCCTCCTATTAGCTGGCACAAGATGGTATGGCAGTTTCTACACATCACAACAGTTTGCGAGTGACTAAAGATGGTGGTTCTTTAATTTTTCCAATTGATCAATCAATAAAAATTTACTAAAGTGGAAAAGAACATGATACATCATGTAAATCTATGGTTGGTTTTGAAACTCAATAATTTATTTTTGAGTTTTTTGTTTATAGTGTTTTATTATATTTAGTTAACTTTTTTATATTTCAATAAATAAATAAAACTTAATTTTTATATCCAACTAACTAACCTAGATCTACGTCAAAGTTAAAAGCAAAAATTGAAAAAAAAAAATCACAAAAAATACAAATAGTACATCATTCCTAGTGAACTTTTTCAAGGTTCTTCACAAATATTTGAATTTTTAGGTGTATCAGGTGAATCAATTTGACTAAAATGTTAAAAAAACAAATACAAAAAACTCAAAAATAGCTTTCAAAAACTAATCCAAACAGAACATTTAATTTGAAACCCAAAACAATAACATGAGATCAATAATAATAATAATAAACAAAGTATTACAAAAACTCACATGTTGAAACAGCCTTGGCATTTGACATCCTTTTGCAGAAAAAAAAAATTGAAGAAAAAAAAAAGAATCAGAGCACTATTTGGTTAAAAACAAAACTTACAACAAATTGAGTATCAATTATGAGTGACAGAGTAAAATTTGTGGGGTTTGCGTTACCATGAAGAAGGAATTAGGGGACTGGACCAGACGCTTTAGCTTGTGCTTCCTCTTCTCGAGCTCTGCTAGTGGATTCAACAAATCGATATTATTTGGAAGAACCTGAAAAACAAGATCAAATCTTAATCAATTGTCATGAAAAATCATATTCGATACCATAAAAACCTAACAAATATAGATTTGAAGAATAAAATACAAAAAGAAGGGCTTTGATATGAGGATGAGGTGCGATCGAACTCACCATTTTGTGTGTGTTTGTGTGTTGGAGAATGAGAGAGCTTTTCACAGCGAACTCGTAAAAACCCTAGATGAAGACTCCAAAGGATGTAGGGTTGAGAAGAAAGAACCCTAGATTTATAGACCTTTGGATGGATCGGTGTCTAATCTCAGCCATTAGTTTTTGATTTTCTCAAACAATACATATGTATCATATTAGGGGAAAAAATGGATTTTAGGGTCAAGGGCTTTGAGAATTTCATGTGGAGTTTTTTTTTTTTCTGAATATTTTAAAAAATGGTAAATTACACTTACAACCTGTACGGGGAGGAAATATTCGTCGCTTTCCGTACTCCTTGGGTCCAAGCTTTGCGTTAATTCGAATGACGTTGTTCAACTTGAGAACAAAAGGACGGTGAGCTACCCAACGAGTGTGTTTGTTACGTCTCCAAATTTTATTTCTCGAAAACATTACCAAAAGCTTTACTTTAAATCTAGATGTTAAATACATTAATGAATACTAATACCCGTTACATTTGAGTAATAAAAATATTGTCCTCTCTCGAATGAATACAACAATGGTACATGCGAATGAATTACATTGAAGTATCCAAAACCAATATTTACATAACAAAACACTCAACAACCATTGATCATTCTGTACATTTTAGTTACACTCTAATAACAATTGTACACCAAAAAGGAAATACAACTTCGTAAATCTTCAACTAGTGTTAGTGGGTCTCTTTCCCCAAAAATGGTAACATAAACATGGGATGAACAATATGTCCAGTAGGAACTTTCAATGGTTCTAAACAATAAATATCCCTAGATACATGTGATCATGAATTCTAGGAGTGATACATGCATATAAAATGTGCTCCTTTCATACTCAAAATACACTACATATAAAATGTAACATCGTTCTCTTAAAGAAATCCATAAAAAGTTGTTTAAAGAAAACCCCTTTCTTGTGTTTCAGTATAATTCTAATATAGTTTTTGCAAATACATTATTAGGAGGTCAATGTTAAGAAAAGAGCCAGCTTACTATAAGTCACAATAAACCATTACTCATTAACCGTGTAAAATAAAGCTACACAGTCCCATGTATTCAACTTTATATCATTATGATTATTCACTCCCCTTATCAAAATCATAAGGGTAGATTTCGTTATCATCGTTCCACACAAATCAGATCTAAACTGGCTTCATTACCAAGCCATGTCATTGCACTACCACGCTTTACCGATCACGAGCCGGAAGAAATGGGGAACCTCACTGTAGACACCCCATTTTTGACCGTCCTCAAGACTTGGACGTCATCGCTTGAACACCTGGTGATCATCCTTATTTGTGTTTGTCTTGAGTTCCCGGAGGTCTCGGCTACACACCTTGCCTCAGGATCTCTCGACTCGACTGTTTTGTGTCTGGTTTTGCACCAAACACTTGTGTTTTGCCTTGGGGGGGCAGGGAATGGCTTGTGGGCCATCCCCACACATCACCGGCCATGGCTTGAGGCCACCGGCTGTGTTTTATTTCCACCGGCCAAATGTTTGGCCGGCTAGCACTATAGATGGTCGACCGGCCATCTTTTTTGGCCAAATTGCATTTTTGGTTGGCCGACCACTGTTCATCTGCTTTTACAGATATTTTCATGCCAGCTATGATAGCTGGCATACATTCTGCTCCCCTCCATACACGTGTATGGAGGGATTTCCCTCTTATCTAGCTTGTCTTGTAAGCTTGCAAGATTGAACCTTTTATAAGAGGAGACCTCTCCTCCCTCCTCTAGGTTAGACAAAAAAATCTCCAGAGAGACCTCTGATATTAGGGTTAGGTTTTGTATCCATTCTATCTCTATATCTCTCTCTTTCTTTGCCTTGTGTGTGTTTGAGTCTTACTATTGCACACAAACACCTAGTCTTACACCTTTTCTTGGTTGTTGAGGGGCCAGAGGTCTGTTCTTGGTGTTCTTGGGTGGTTTTGAGCTCAAAGAAGCAGCTGGTCCACCTGTAGACACCCCATTTTTGACTGCCCTTAAGACTTGGGCACCATTGATGTTTTACTTGGTGGAGAAAGGTGTGCAGGGCAAATGTTTAGTTTCTTCGGCAAGGAGAGAGGCAAATCCTTCAAAACACTTTGCTTAGGGGTTTGGAGTTGAAGAAGAGAGGAAAGGAGAGGAGAAAACTAGTTTGGGAGAAGTTCGGCATGAATCCGGGTAGAAGCGAGTCGAGCAGCCCTCGCTGAATCGGGCTTATCTGTCTGTACACTTGGATTTTAGCTATGGGGCCACTACCGTCGGAAATCTTACTTCCGAGGCTTCATTTTGCACTCAAGAATCTCTTAAAGCCAAGTCCGGGTGGGGGAGATATGAGCAGCTGAATTTGGGCATCATCCCGGTTGGATCGAATCTGCGCGGCTTCACTAAAATGGGCATAACTTTTTCCATAGGAGGAATTTTAATGCAAGGTTTGCGCCATTGGAAAGATAACTTCCGGGGCTTCAATCTGGACATCCACAGGAACTTTTTGACCTCATCAGCCACCCATCGGTACTCCATTTATCCGACCGGCCAATATAAATTGCAGGTCGGCAATATATTGTGCCGACCGGCCATTTATTTTGCCGATGACCTCCTTTTATGGCCGATATGACCCTTTTGCACCCCTCAAGCATGGTGCATGCCAGCTGTGCCAGCTAGCTGTGCCAGCTATTCTCCATTCAAACCCTCTGTCCGAGATTTTGCCTTTTGGGGGGGAAATTTGAACTTGTTTTGTTCCCCCCCTTTTCTTGCCTCTCACCCTCTATATAACCAGCCCTCCACCACCATTTTGAAGGGTTGAAGAAACCAGCTGAGGCACCATTATAGATACAACCCTATATCTATACATTCAACCCCCCCTCTTCCAAGCTCTAAAGTCCATTATCCTTGGCCATTTACACAACAACCCATAGCACAAGGCCTCCATCCTCCATTCCGACCATTTGAGGCTAATTATCAGAGGTTAGGAGCTCTTTTTCTTGGATCAAAGGCTGTTGCATTGCTGCTCTTCAAGGGTAAGTCTTCATTCCCTCTTTTCTAGCCTTGTCTTGCTTCATATCTAAGCCATAGTTGCTTGCATTTTTGGGCTCCGACCCTAACTGGAGATAGGCTTATTTTGAGCCATATTTCATGTTTGTTTAAGGGCCTCTCACGCCTGGCTCAGCTGTTTGAAGGGCTCTTGTTTCACTTGCCTTCATTACCTCCCTTGTATGCCATTTTTCTTGTGTAGTATTTTGGCGCTATGTAATAAATTGTTTTGAGGCATGCTCATAACTGTAAAGGGGCTTATTTTGAGCCCTTATTCAATGTTGTGAAGGGCTCAATATTTGCGAGGCATCCATTTTTATACTTTGTGTTTATCTCTCTTTTTGGCCATATTTTGCATAGTATGTTTTGGCTTGTATATATGCTGTTTTGGGTCTG